TAGGGAAACTCGAGATAAGAAAATAAATAAGGGACCTATAACTGAAAGTTGCTTGTTCAGCAAAGTACTTAAGCATGCACTTCACTTCAAGAATGTGGGTAATCCTGCTGAGATAAACAGGGATGAAGCTACTTACGCACTTAAAATGAAGCAAATGCTTAGGTATTTTGTTCTTTTGGGGCTTTAGAACCAAGTCCTGTTTGTGTTACAACAAATGTTCCAGGAAACTCAGTTTGGTCAATAATTCAAGGGTGGTTTGCACCCTAGGGATGAATTTTTCAGGACTGTATCAACTAATCATCCTTCCCTGGTTTCCTCCCACTTTACTGTGAACTTTTTTCCCTGTGACTGAGACCTACTCTTACAATAATAATAATACTCATCATCGTCATAATCTAGGCCCTTTGGCCACCTGACTGCCTTAACTAATGATTTTCCCCCAAACTGCAATGTCCCATGATATAAACGGTGCATACCCAAGATTCTTCTTTTGTTTTAAAGAGAAAATCTACAAAATTTACTGCATTGCATTTCCACTGTAAACACAGGAGCTGGTGCCATGGTGTTTTACTGTATGGTAAGTAAATAAGATTTGGGAACCATTTACTCTTCAGATTACAGCTGGACACAGGGAGCCTTGTTCAATGTTGTGCAGCAACTGTGCTTTTGGTTCAATGCAGCAGGTATCAAAATACCTCCTGATTCTAATCAGATATCGAGACTGGTCAGGGCCTTGGAAGTTTGGACCCATCTGGGTTCAGCCAGGTCTGTGGGGCTTAAAGGGAGCCACAGCATGGCGATTTAGTAAGAGGCAGCTTGCTGCCTTTACAGCTGTTTGGGAGGATTGAGGGTTCTAGAGGGTTCAATCCAGGGTCTTAGTTGTTGAATTAATTCAGAACATGCTGTGGATGCTTAGCTTGCCCTCAGAGAGTGATGAAGGGAAGTCGTGTCACAAGGTTTTATGTTCAGTTGACTGGCTTGATCATCGAAGGTATCATATTTTGATTAAGGTACACGTGAGATTGAAAAGGCAAAGGAAGTGATAAAGATGGTTAGAAGAAAGATTCCTAATGAACAGGGAGAGAGATTGTCAATGCTAGAATAAGTTACTCTAGAAAGGGAAAGAGTTAAATTAGACCTAATGGAGATGCTTCAGAACAGTCCACTGGAAAAACTAATCACTCTAATCTAAGTTAACCTGATTGCAAAAGCAAAGGAAAGAGCTGTAAGAAAAATACCGAATGTATTATATTAAGTTCTTCATAAAACAGAATTGGCTTGTAATATTCACTGTTGCACACAATCTTTGAATATTACAAGTAAATGTGAAAAGGAGGCTGTAACTGACCACGAATATTGATTTTGGGGGGGACCTGAGACAGTCATCCTGCTTGTGTTTATGTGGAACTCAGTCAACTCTCACTGGAGCTCTCATGCTTTTAAGCCACAGACACAGGGCTAGATTATTCCAGAAAATTGGTAAGACTTTTAAAAGTGACTTGCGATTTTAGTGCTTCCATTTTTGGATGCTCAAGCTGAGACAATTTAAATGTGCCCCACTTTTAGTGCAATGCTGAATACCCATCCACTGAAAAGTAAATCTTTTGCATGTGTATCAAGCTGAGCATTCAAAGTGTTTTGCTCAGTTTTGAAAATCTCAGTTGTTGCTTCTTGGCTTGTGAAGAAAAATCAATAATCTCAGACTTCAAAGCAAATCAAGATCAGGCTTACATCTCCACTCCTTCCCCCTCCTCAAGAACATACAAATTCAATAAGGCCTATTTCTGAACCATATATGCAGTTAAGAGGATGCCAGTATATCATGAACAATATCCTGAAGGAATAGAGTGTATCTACATAATAAGATTTTGCTTTTGCTGTTGTGCAACGCAGGCATGTGTCATTTCTTAATGTGACCAAAATCTGCCCCTCAAAGTTCAGGTTTTGATCCAATTAGCAAGCAAAATCTGTCTCCTTTTCTGAACTGCTCCACAGTTTTTGGTTCTCAAAAGTGGCCTGGAAAGTTCATAAGAGTAAGCTTTCTCATGATGTGAGACTCCTGGTATTTCCTGCTTCCAGTTTGGCTAGACGTGCTGCAACGGTTGCTTTTCTCATGGTTATTTGGGTATGGTAGTTGGCTCTAAATGGAAGCCCTAGACCCAGATGCCCACAGCTTTTAAATCACCAAGTAATTGAGCCCAAATAAGGAATCAAACTTGCCAAATGGCCCCAACCTCAGTAACAGATTCAGCGCAGTCTGAAGGTGTTCGAGATCTAGATTTACAAATCTCAATTCTCAAATATTAGCATAACACCCTAACAGGAAAGAAGTAGTATAGAGAAAGATTAAAATATAAATAAATAAAGCTGGAAATGAGCTAAACATGCTTTTGGTTGTGTTCTATCTTGACTTGATGCTCAAAACTTGTGAGAGCATGTGAACTGTTTTCAGTTCAGGTTACACCACTTATCTGCTCCAACTGGAGTCAGTGTAGTCCTTTTTACTGAATTCAGCAGAAGCTGGCTTAGCCTGTAATTTAGGGAAGCACTGAAGCAAGGGGAAGTACTTTTTCTCTTGCCTGGCTTTGGAATTGGACATAGTGGTTTCTGCTTCTGTGCTAATCAATCCCTGTTCTGGCATTAAAATTAGTAGAAGTATTGGTCCCAAAAGCTGTGAAATGTTTCTGTAACATCTTGTTTTATCATATTTTTGAATAAAGAGGCCAAGCTGTATTAATGGTTTTCTCAAATGCAGACATGCTACCATAAATCCTACTGGCTTCTGAAATGTTATTTCCTAACCTATTAATTTTTAAACTATATTGTTTTAATATTAGTTTTCTCAGTGATTTCAATTAAGATGTAAGAGATATGACTCTCCCCAGTGGACTTCAATACATCAGGCAGCTGGGAGTATTGGCTTTTTAATGAGACTTAGAAAGGTCTTGATGAAAATCTCAGCAAAGGAAATGCTATGCTCTCAAACTCCCAACACAGACATCCTGGCATGCAAAATCTTGCAACAGTCAGCATCACTGGTTTCAGTATCACCCTGATTGGAACTGAAGGGTTGGGTGATTGCTAACAGGCAGCAGAAATTTGTGCTGTGAACATGATCACTAGCTACAATCCTGCCCAGATTTGGGAGGACCCAAAAGATGTTACTGTTTGATGGCATTCATTAGGCTCAATGAATACCCCTGGCTGTCTCAGCTCAACTCCTAGAAAACAGAAAACCATTCCTTGAGGCTACTGCTAATAATGGCCTTGTTTGCTAGCAGTTGCAGCATCATGGACAAAGAATGCATGGTCATGGAAACTGAACCCCCCTCTTGTCCGTCAGGGCACTTCTGCCAGGTCATGGCTAAATCCCACTGGCAAGAGAGGATGGGGAAAGTCTGCACTCTCACTGCCTGGTCTCAGGACAGAGCAAATGCCTCTCTGGACTGTGCTCAACATCCCTCAACAGTGTCAAATTTGCTCAAGCAGTTTAACCACACAGTACTCCTTTGTAGTTTGTGTCGGCCTTTTGGCTAAGATCAAGTGTAGCGTAGTGTAGTGAGTCACTTTTGCATTGTCCGCCATATCAGTTTTTGTGAGCAAGCAAACTGGCCTTGGGTAAAGTCAGAGCCTGACTTTGGGACTTCACTCAGCAGCTTGATTCAACACCTTAGGAGAATCTTGACTTTGAAGACTCTGAACTCATCGTTTACTGGTAAAGATACTACATCTCCAGAAGTTCTTCTTTGATGAGGAGGGATAGAAATTTGATTTGATTTGGGGGTGGGTGTGTGTATTAGTTTTTTATTTCAAGATGCAGCTTGGAATACCAAAGAAGCAGTTGTGTTGCAGACAGGGCTGTTATGGAAGTTTTTTCCCTTCTAGTTAGCAAATGGGATTGCAATAGGCTTCCAAGGAACAAAGGTATTTTTTTTCTAAAGGTCTTCATATGAATTTTTCACTGAAGGTATTTCTTGCTTGTCAGCTAGAATCTTCCACCAGCACGACTGAGTTGGAAAAAAAAATTTTATTTGGAAGTAAATGTTTCATCTGCTGCTGTTGAAAGTTTATTTAGGCTGGTAGTCTAACTAACTGAGTGGGAATAATTCTACTTGAGGATAAAGAACTTAAATCAGTCCATATCCTCCTCTTATCAGCATCTACCCATGACTCACCATATTGGGATCAGGCCATCTGTAGTATCGATAAATACTTCAAGCTCATAACTCTGAAGGAATACTGCGAAGTGAAATTCATGCACTAAGTATACTTAGTTGCTATTGAGAATTATAGGACAAAGCTTTTTAAGGATAGATGGAATTTTTGCTCCAGTGTTTCTGGAGAGAGCATTTGCTTCTTCATAGGATTAGATAGTTATGTCTGGTAACACTATCCATGTTTTTTTGTAGGACTGTGCTTTTTGCAAGAATAAGTTTTACTGTGATATAAAAATAATTTTGTTTTGGCCATTATTCTTGCAATACTGAAAGAGCATGAAGTTTGTCAAGCAATCTTGCCAATTGGGGAAGGTTATGCGTTATTTTTATTGCTCCAATGCTCTAAACCTTGTATTAAGAATGTGTCAACAAGCCTAATCCCAAAGAGTTTGCAGCCTAGAATCTTAATAGGCAACAGGTGAATGATGCTGCAGCAGGAGGGAGGAGGGATGGGGTGCCTCAGTGGGATGCAGCTGCAGAATGAAGCAACATGTTAGGACAGTCCCATGTCTGCAACAAACTTTCACAGAAGACTGATAATTTTGATGTTTTCATCTAGAATTCAGATCAGGACAGCAGAGTGGTCGTTGGTCACAGTTTAGAGCTTTACAGACTACTTCTGCAGTAAAGCACATAAATAATTTTGAAGACAGTTGCTTAGTTAATCATTAATACTAAGAGATCTGTGTTCTTCAGCTGTTATTTAGAATGTCTCATTGTGACTTCTTTTTTTTGTTTGTTTGTTTTTTTGTTTTCTTGTTTCTGTTCTATGATTTACGGTATCTCCTGAGCAGGTAAAAGATGAAAAGGATAAAGGAAAAGCACCCAAAGAGGAAATGAAAAGTATCTGGGATCGTAAGAAGGGATTTCCTGAACAAAAGGCACAGAACGGAGAACGTGAACTCACTGCACCAAAACTTAAATCTACTGAGAATGCTTTTGGGTAAGTTCCAAGTGAGCATTGGGCTTGCTTATGTTATAGCAGAGCAGCAGTCATCTCTGGGTCTCTGCTTAATAGCCTTGTAGCAGCTCAGTAGAAGACTTGGGTTGGCAACATTAGCAGAGGCTCTAGTGTTCATTTGGTTGTACCTATGAATTAAGGCTCTTAGCCTAATTTCTAACAAACTGCCCTCACATTGTTGTAATAACAAAATGAAGTACAGAAAGCAGATGTAAATACTCTTGCTCCCTCAGTAGAGACAGGTGCCTTATTTGTGCTCTGCTGGGGCTTTCTTTCCTTGAAGGACATTTATTTCTAATATCTGCACAGAGGCCAATGGCAACTGCAGCCCAGATTTTGTGTTCTCTAATTTTTTAAGTCAGATCTCAGCCTTTCCTGAAGTAACGTATTCCAGTTACCCACCAGCTTTTAATCAGGCTCTGCGTATCAGTACAGAGCACAATACAGTTGGTAACTCTTGAAAAGGCTTCTCTCTCTTCAAGGTAAAGCTTGAAATTCTCTATAAAAGTGATTTTTTCAGTTAGGTGGAAACCTCTCCTAGCCAAAGTGTTCTAATTTTTGTATTTTTATAAGCTATATCACAGTTTGATTTTTATTTTTTATTTTCAAGGAAATATTGGCCTCATGGCTATATTGGGAAATTCAGTGAAAGTAACAGATTTCTAGTGAAAAGTTTATTAAAAAAGGATTCTGCCTGCTAGAAGGAGGGGATATGTGAAGCCAAGAAGAAGTTCTTCCTTTTAGCAGAAAACCAGGAATTAATATGTTAGAAATTTTTTTTTTTTTTTTTTTTTTTTGCTTCTGTACTTCTCTTCCTCTTGTAGCTTGACACAGGCAAAGAAAAGGTTAAGCTCTCCAGGCACTTTGAGAAATCTGTGCATGGCAGGTGGGATTTGCTGTTGTATCAGCATTCCCCTCATGATTCTTCCGGGAAAAACAAACTTTCTCAAAATAAAATGCAGTTCAAAAGTCCCCGGAGACACCCTGACCTAAGGCCAAAAGACAGACAGAGATGGAGATGGAATAGCAGGAAATGGGCCTTGCTCAGAACCGTCCTTCTTCATGACTTGGGTCACATCATCAATAACATGAGAATGGTTTTCTAAAAATATTTTTGTTGTGTTTTCATTTGTTTTACTTCCTGTGGGAGAAGGCCTTAGTGGCAACATGTAGATTTGAGTTTCCACTCCTTTTTTCTTTTTCTGTTTTTCTTCTACTATTTCCCAAATGTGGGAAGAAGCATGTTTAATAGCCTTTTATCAGCTGAGTAGAAGACTTGGGCTGGCAACGTCAGCGGAGGCTCTAGTGTTCACTGGGTTGTTAGGTATGAATTTAGGCTCTTGGCCTATTTTCTAATGAACTGCCCCTGGATTGTTGGGCTTTGTTTGGAACCATGTTTCTTCTTGTTTTCACATGAACATATCAGATACTAGTTAGGAATCATGTAATTTGGCTAAGTCTCAGTGGTGAGCACTGAGAATAAAATAGGGTAGTGGAGGCTAAAGAAAAACCTTATCTGTGTCTTTTTTGCCTACGTCAGTCAGTAGGAGAAATATAGAATAAAAACACATTTTATGGCTTCCTCTTCCCATCTCCCCTCCCACCTGCCTTCCTCCCTATTCTCATACAGGACTTCAAAAGTCCTAAATATGATGTAACAAGTTTTTTTTCACATTGTTCTGACATTTTTGGCTCCCACAAACCACTTCATTCCTTTTCCTCCTTGTCTGAAAGCTGGCAACCAACTTCAGTTTTCAGCACCAAAGAGGTGTTTACGAAACTCTTCCTCCACCCAACATCTTATTATTAATTTCCCAATGTCGACAGTAGGGAACAGAGATTCCCAGAATCTGTTGAAAACAGAGGAGTTTGTGAGGTGGAGGAAAATAGGGACAATTACTGCCAGTTTATTGTTTGCTATTTCAGAGTATGCAGAACCAGTAGGGGAAGTCCTGTAAACTGCATGAGAATAAAATAAGCTAGAAACTTTAAATGTCCTTCTTTGTAAGGAGGACAAAATAGTCACCTGAGGTCTCCAAACAAAAATGTAAAGACTAGATTCTACCTTTGGTTTTTATCAATTGAAAGCTGAGAGTAGCTGTTAATTTCATTGAGGCTATCTGCACTGAAGTCACTGAGGACTAACCTTTCTTTTCTACTGATATAAAACAAAGTGGCTGTGAAGAGAATCTTGGCGACTGTTATGTTCTTGGTTCTCTGAATTCTGAGGGATGAGTATTTGCCCTTGCCATTATGTCTATCAGAAGTGACCTCTTGCATCTTCTCAGGGCACCAATCTTGCAAGTCTGTGTGGGCTGGCAACACAGATTTCAGAGACGAAGGGGGCAGGCGGGGAGGAATACAAATCATTGAGTTTCCTGGGATGTTTGCTATAGGGGCTGCAACCTTGCAATGAAGCCGGAAAGCCTTAAAGTAGTCAGGGATTTCTTATGACCTGTGCTGGATAATAGATGCACTGGCTTCTTAGAAACACTTAATGCCTTGTAAAGGCTTGTGGAACATTTTGGGTTTGCAATACCTCTGCAAACTGAATGAGTGGTGTTTCAGGCTGGACACCCAAAATCATACCTCACACCTCAGGTATTGGTTCTCACTTTGGTTTTGAATGGACTAAATTAAATTTCAGATAGTTTGAAATGTCTTAACACAGTGCTTTAGTTAATTGTATATGTATTTTTCATTTTAAAAGCATGAGTTCCTTTCTTTAAGTAGACATCACTACCTAATGCAAGCCCTTATTTGCGACCACTTACATTAACTTGATGCTTATGGTGGAGGGTCAACTTGTGGTTATACTTTCATGATTTAAGTCATTCCACTGCAAAAACACATTCAGGAATAGGGCCTGGAGCATAACAAGATTGTGATAGGGTGATGTTAGGGAAATATATGATATGTACTTGTAAGTCTTAGAAAATCAGGCATGAGAATGTACTGAGGGTACATACATTCACAGACTTCTGGGACAGTTTTGGGTTTGGTTTTTTTGGTTTGTTTCTTTTTTGTTTGTTTGGTTTTTTTAGCTTCGCTTTTTGATGTTACACTCTTGCATGGAAAAGACTTTCTGAAACCAAGTAAACACCTTACAAAATAAGTGCCAGGTGTTACTACTTTAGTGTTGAACTTGCACAGATGAAGAACAGCAGCTGAATTCACATAATAGCATCAGGTTGGTTATGCTATTTTGCCATAGGCTTTTTAATGATACAATTTCTAAATTATGCATGCCAGGCTAGAACTGAATTTCATCCAATTTGGTAAGAGCATGTGGGGACAGAGGACTCGGTTAGTAGATTCTACTGTGATATTGAAACCACAGATTCAGCTCTGGTTCTACAGCCTGTTTTATATTGTTAACTCCATCTATATGAGGCATCTATCTGAATGAAGAGCACATTTGCAGGATTGAATGTGATTCACTGGATTGCACATTTATATGATATTTGTTCTTTATGCTGCCATTTCTAATCTGATAGCCTCCAACAGTTATTGTTGGAACACTTGATTTATACCGTCTTGTGGCATTATACTTTGCAACACTCTGATTGCATTAATGAAGTCATTAAAATTCATCTTTTTAAATGCCAACAGAACAGAGCAGAAAGTTTTTTTAAAAAAAATCCACCAAGTACATTCCCTTTCTGTCTCTTGTGAATAGCACACTGATACCTCTTAGGTACCTATCTCCTTGTCAGCAGTAACATTAAACACATTCAGGGAGCAGATATTTGTCTAAACACTGGCATGATAATTGTTTAACTAGGTGATGCTATCTTTCTCTGTTGAAAGTATGTACTTCATCTATGCAAATTCTTGAGGGTATTTCTTTTTTTTATTCTTTATTTCTCTCTCATGTGTTACAGCTGGTTGGAAAACTTCTGGTTTTCTCCTGTGGAAAGTTCCCATTAATAATTTCCAGTTCCTTAATAAAGAGTCATACTTTCCCTGGAAAATGTCAGCAAAAAATCTGATGCACCTTTCCATTCATACAGGCTGGCAGAGTTAAAGTGATAGGTGTTATAGATGACATAGGAACATTTTTAGATTTTTAAAACACTGTTGAAGCTGTAAGTTTCTCTCCCTTTTCTTGTTTTTCTCTTCACCAAGTCAAGTAATTTGCTGTATCCCCAAAGATGCTTGTCTTTTTGAAGAGGTTTTATAAAAAAATACTTGCCTTTGAAAGCAAAGGATGAGTGCATCTTTTATTACACAGAACATAGCACAATATTTTTGCTGTGAGTTTTTTATGTGTAAATTTATCTAATTTAAAATCAACAGAGAGGAATTAGAGTTCCATTGCTTTGTTTTCTGTATGAAGTACAATATGCTTTTGGAAGTATTTCCTCTGTATACAAACTGCAGAGCAGAGCTGTGAAACTGTAACTGTTTATGTATACCATAGAGATGCTGATGAGATATAATAGTTCTTGCTGAAGTTACGTTAAATGTTGAATATTTCAAGCTCAGTTACTGAGTTCTCTTGAAAACTGAAGTGGCCTGAGTCCTCAGGCAGGAAGGTGCAGCTGCTGTGCACACAAGCACATGAGAGACTCCTTCCTCACTGGCAGCAGGTGGGAGAAGTACTCCTCCCAGTATCCTAGCCTACTAACTCCTGATGAAAATGTTTTGGGTCTATCATAGTTTTCAAGGAGCAAAAGGTCTTATAAGGCAGCACCTTTGAGTGCCAGGGTCTCATGTCGCTGGTGAGTACATGGGAGTGGATGGCTCTGGCCAGGAAGGGAAAACCTGTGATGCATCACCTTCCCTTTCATTTCTTTCCCAGCCGCTCCAATTTGAAAGGGACTGGGACTGAGGACTTTGAGAAGCTGAAAGAGAAGCAGCAGGAGGCGGCAGCAGAGCTGGACGAACTGAAGAAAAAGCGGGAGGAGCGCCGCAAAATCCTGGAGGAAGAGGAGCAGAAGAAGAAGCAAGAGGAGGCTGACAGAAAAGCCAGAGAGGAGGTAAGTGTAAAATATGAAGTATTGGACTCTGGTTTTATTCCCTTGTTTCTACTGCTTTACTTCCACTGGCCTTGCATTGGTTGATAACTCTTTACAGCAGTGTCTGTACAGGCACTTTTAGGCAAGGAAGTTGGTGGGGCTAGGGTTTGATGGGTCTGTATTTAATGGAAGGGCAGAAAGGCCACGGGAGACTGGCTTGTAGGTGAAGAAGAGGCTTGCAATGAGAAAGGCAAGCCCAAACCCAAGCATACATGCCAAAGTGTGCTTCTCCTTGGATCTGATGTTGCTGTGTGGGGTGTTGCTGCTGTGACTTTGCTTCAGATTTCACCCTTCATCTGGGCAGTCTGGGTTGTGCCCTCTTCTGGCATCACTGTCTCTTAGCATCTATCAGGAGATGGTCTGTCACAACAGACCTTGATTTCAAATATGCTACCAAGCTTTAAAATTACCATATTTTCTAACCTTCAGATTTAACTGCAGGTATGCCATATTTGATGTCAAGTAATCACAGCACATGCAGTCATCCAGGGTAGAAAGAAATGTTACAATTCCAGCCTCAGGAAAGACAGGGCTCTAATAAGTGTCCTCGGGAGTTGGGATTTCATCTGCAATAGTTGTGAATTTCTTACCTTCTTGGGGATGCAAAGAGGGCAGTGTTATACCCACAAAGTTCTTAATGTATTCAGGGTATCTTTTTGACATTACACAAATTGAATTACAAAGTGCACATCAACATTTGTCTGCTGCAGATGAGCCGGAATGCTACTGTTATATATAGTTATGATGGGCTATATCTCATTAGGAAGATATTCTTGTCTATTTAAATATTGACTACCCAAGCACATCTGTTTGCTTGTACTTCCTCTGCCAACGGACTCTATAAATAGGATGTCCAAACCTCTGGTGCATCATTTGGAATCTTAGTTGTTTGGAAAACAAATGGTAGATAAATAATCATAGTGTTTGGCAGCTGAATGCCAATTGCTTTAATATAATAAGCTCTTTGCAGTAGAACTCATTAGCTGCTGATATTGCACAATACTTTGCTGGTCAGACCCTGCTGTCCAGCACTTACAGTGGTTGTGCTTTGAGGGCTTCTAGTTTGACTTGTAGCTTATGAAGTAAAACCTCATGTTATCTCTTTGGAGGGAAAACTGTAAGCATTTAATCTTCACTTTTTTCATAGAATCATTAAGGTTGGAAA